GCTGGGTTTATGGTTGGACTTGGCGTTCTTAGAGGTCTTTTGCAACCCTAATGATTCTGTGATCTGCAAGGTGGAGCCCTGGGAAGTGTTTGGAAAAATTCCCAGTCCATGCCCAAGAAGCTCCCTTGTCTGATGGGAGAGGGGAGAGCCCAAAACAGCACTCAAGGACCACTCTGTGCAGTGAAAGGATCCTCCCTCACTGGGATGGGCCTGGTTGCACTTTACAGGGGGAACAAGCTTTGCCAAGGGACCCCACAGCTTCAGACCCAGCTGGTCTGGCTCCTGCTGAGCTCATCTCCAGCTCTCAGCACAGCAGAGATTTCCCCAGAAGACAGGCCTGGTGCTGCAGAACCAGCCTAGTGATTGTGACATCTTTGTCTGTGCCCTTTTTTCAGTAACTTCCTGGTCCTTTAACAGTCATGTCTGGTAGAATCGAAGCTGTTCTCCCCAGAAAAGCCAAGAGCTGGTTTTCTTCCACTTTCCTCCATTTATTGAAGCTCAGCAGTGAGCAGGGTCCTCCTGCTCTCCGGGAGGAGGGCTGAGCCCTCCGGGTGTCCGTGCAGGACTCGGGGACTCAGAAGTTATTAAAAAGATTGCAGGGTTTGTGTTGGTTATTAAACCAGCACTTCAGAGCCCGGCTCTGCTGTTTGGGGACTCACTACCAAATTACTCAGGGCTCTCTGGGGGGAAGATGATTGGCACTGGAGCTGCTGGGAGCCGTGATTCTGAGTGCATGTGCAGCTCTGTGCTGTCGGTGGGGCTGTGCAGTGCCATCAGGGGAGTCCCTCTGTCTTGCAGCTGGACATGTTTCTCTTTAAAACTGCCTTTTTTCAGCTCAGAGGACTGTTTCAGTCAGAAAACAGCTTGTCCAGAGAAGCTGTGGCTGCCCCTGGATCCCTGGAAGTGTCCAAGACATGTTGGACAGGCCTTGGAGCAACCTGGGCTGGTGGAAGGTGTCCCTGCCCATGGCAGGGGATTGAATGAGATGAGCTTTTTCCATGGCCTATCAAAGTTCTGATGGCTGGAGAGGACACTGTTCCACAGCTGGAGAGCTGGGCTGTTTCCCATGGAGGGCACACTAAGTGGTGGTGGATTTAATCTGGACACAGCACAGAGTGCCCTGGAATGCAGTGGGGAGGAATATGAACTGTTAACTGTGATGATTAAAATGTCCTTCTCCAGTTTTTACGGTGGGGGGGCAAGAAGTGGTGTAAAATGAGTGTTGTGAGTGAGAGGAATCAGAAATGAGTGGGAGGCTGTTTCCTCCAGGGAATGCTGGGCTGGCATGAGCAGCAGAAGAGCCCTTTGCACAGGGTGTTTGAACACAGAGGGGTTTATAAGGTGCAAAGTGAGACTTGGGCAGGCACTTGTTAGCTGGGAGACCCCAAAAGCTCAGAGCAGTGCCGTGCTGGAAACCCAGAGCCCCAGCTGCCCCAGCCTTGGCCTTCCCAGCCCTGCCTGCCAAATCCCTGCCTGTGCAGGGGCAGCAGTGTGTGGGCAGATGGCCCTGGGAGAGCGTCCCATCTGCAGAGGCGGCGGGTTCCCACTGGCTCCTTCCCAAGCCCTTCCCAGCAGCACAGCCCTCACCTTGCCTGACCTTGGCTTTGCCATCTGGTGGCCCCATCCCATCGTCATCAGCCCCAGGCACAGCTCCTGCCGTGTCCTGGCGTGGCCCCGGAGCCAGCGGGGCTCCCAAGGGAGGGCTGTGCTGAGGAAGGGGGTGCTGATCTCCCAACCCATCACCCCTCCCTGCAACCAGGGGTGAAAGTCACTTCTCTCATCTCCAGCCTCAAAGGCTTTCATGGGATGGTTGGGACTGAGCATCCCAGGTGGAGGCAGCACAGGAGAGACACCACACTCGCTGTGACACCCCTGAACCCCCAGGGCAGGGATGGCCAGGGGGTCACAGCAGGTCTGCTGTGTCCCTGGGGTAGCAAGACCACCCAGGGAACAAGCACAGCATGTTCCGGTCCAGCTGCAGGGAGCAGGTGGGAAGGTCACAGGAGCCAGAAGGAGGTGGGGATGGGCAGCAGGGGCCTGGAGAGGTGCAGGTTCTCTTTCACCCCCCCCCCACACCTCCATGGCAGCCAAGGTTTTACCTTGGGAGATGCCTTAGGAGATGTCTTTCTGCATCCAAAGGTCCATCTGGTACCTTCGTGCCCACCTGAGAAACGCTTCAAGTTCATCTGGGTCTGTAAAGCAAACCTGTCCATGGGCAGCTGCAGGGCTGGCTCATGCTGCACCCACTGAGAGGGGACACACAGCCCACCAGATCTGGGGGAAAACACACTTTTATACCCCCATCCTACCTGAATCCTCCAGCCAGCCTGTTCTGTCCCATGCACAGAGGCAGCTTAACCCACATCCCTCCCACACAGGCTTAAGGAGCTCAGCCCTGATGGAACTGGAGTTTGCAGCTGCAAACAGCTGGGCAGAGCTTCAGGCAGCTGTGGATGACACCTGGCTGGGCCTGATCAGTCATTGGGAAGGATTTGGGCTTAAATAAATTAAAATAGAGACCATTCAACAAAGGTGGATTTATGGTTTGGAAGTTGGAGCAACCTGAAGAGGTTGGGCACCACTTGCCAAAGGTTGAGAGTTGAAGTCACTTCGATTCCTTTAAAAGTCCTGTCCTTTGGCTCTTTTTCCCTGTGTTTTTAGGAACACTCTGTCTGCCAGGAATTGTTTTGAAAGTAATAAAAGTCTCTGGCTCTTCTAATCCATAAGTGCAAAAGGGAAGATGCAAGAAGCCAGAACTCAGACAAAGCCTAACTCTTTGTTTGATTGGATTTAGCAGGAAGATTATTTCCAGTCTCAGTGGCAGGTTAATGGAGTCACCCGGGCTGGAGCCAGAGGAGATTTATTGTGGAGTCTCATCCTCACACTGAGGCTCAGACTTGCCAAGTGTCTCCAGTGCTCTGGATGGTCTGGTTCTAAGGGATAAGAAGGATGGAGTGTCCAGGTCTTTGTGCTCCCAGATGGAAAAGGTGGGGGTGTGCACGTGGATCTGGGCTGTGCAGAGCTCAGTGGTGGAGTTGCTGTCACAGCATCCTGTGGCTCCCCAGGTGGGCTCCAAGCCCGTGGGGTGGGGGAGTCTCCTGCCTTGTCTCTGTCCTGGACTGAAGTTCCCAATTCCGGGAATACACAGCCAGAGGTGCCGAGCCCAGACACGCTGCTGCTTGTCTGGGTGGGTACAGGTGCCCTCGGGCAAAACGGGACTGTGGGCAGGAGCAACCCCTGCTGGGTATCCCAAGGAAGAACATCCATCGCCTGAGGAGCCGAAATGGGGCTGCCCTGATGATGTTCTGCCCCCAAATAGGCTTAAGAGGAGACAGAAATCCTGTGGGGAAGGTCTGTGCAGGAGAGGACAAGGAAGAAGGAGGGCTGGGGTTTTTGGGAAGTGTTGGATGCAGTCTCAGAATATCGTGACTCTTTCCCAGGCTCTGCCTGCCAGGTGGGAAGTATAGGAAAGGTAACTCTGGTTTAGGCTCAGCACTAACTGACTTGTGGTGTCAGTGCCTCGGGCAGGCTGGGCTGTGGGCAAGCAGAGCTTGCCAGGGCTTAGGCACAGGGTGACAGGGCCCACAGGGGCTGCACCATCCAGTCAGGCAGCTGCCACTGTCCCCAGCTCAGACTTGGGCTTTGAGCCCACAGAGCCAAAACCCCAAAGGCAGGCAGGGCTGTAGCTCTGCCCAGTGCCAGGGCAGACGCTGGGGATCACCAGGGAGGGCACTCCGTGGTAGCAGTGCATCCCCCGTGCCAGGCTTGGGGACCCCCAGAAGTTGGGGGCACCCTGGTGGCGTTGCCCTTGGTGGGTGCTGCTGGAAGGGGATGGGGAGGAGCAGCACCTCCGTGTGCATCCTGCCTGGATCCCAAGTAGATCCCACACGCCGTGTCTGCAGCACAACAGCGATCCCAAAGCGTGCCCCTGTGCCTGGAAGATGGAAATGAAGCTGCTCTCCTTGGCCAGCTGTGGGTTTTGCTGCAGGAGTCGGGGCAGGCAGCCTGAGAGCAGCCAGCCTGGCTTTGGTTCCACACAGCTGCCAGCCTTGTCTCTTGGTCCTCAGTCCTCAGAGGGGAAACCTGTTCTCAGGGGCTGCCCGTGAGCCACTCGAGGCAAGAAACTTGGAGGTTTGTGCCGTGCAGCCACGGGAGGGGGTTGGAGTGGCTCCCGGCTGATCTGGCTGATGGCTCGGTGGTTTCCAGGCTAACAGTGACACCTCCTGTTTGAAGCACAAAACCCAGCTCAGAGCCCGGGCAGTGCAGTGCAGGTACCACTCAGGAGCACAGGGGCTGCTTCACCGCTCTGATCTGTTTGTTTGCATCCAGAAAACCCGAGACCTCTTCCAGGTGTAAAGAGGGGACCTGTGGGGACGAGGCTGTGCCTGTGTGTGGGGAGAGTTGGGCCGTACTGGGAGGTGGTGGCAGGGGAAAGGCTGGAAAAGTGGGCATGAACCAAGGTGCTGGATGCAAACTGCTTCAAAAAGAGCAGCTCTTTGAATTGTAATTCGGTATAGGGAGGCAAAAGCTTTTGTATAATGGCATTAAAGAGGTAAAATTTATTTAAATCTTGTTTTCTCCCCTAAAAACAGCCTTAGAATCATAGAGTACCCTGAGCTGGACGGGATGCAGTGGGGTCCAACTCCTAGCCCTGCGCAGGACCAGCCAGGTGTCAACCTCATCAGCTGGTTTCCAGCTAGAGTTTAGAACTGACTGTGCCAGGAGGGATCCCCCAGAGGTGGATTTCCCTGGAGGTGGGATCCCCTGGAGGTGGGATCCCCTGGAGGTGGGATCCCCCAGAGGTGGATTTCCCTGGAGGTGGGATCCCTCTGCTGTTGAAGAGCTGGTTGAAGTTGAGGCTAGATGAAGACCAGCTGAAGTTGAGGAGCTGGCTCCCTCACTCCAGACTCACTGAGAGATTTGTCCCCCACCCCTTTCTGTGAGACCCTGGCACTTCCCTTGGCACGGCCTCTCCCTGACTCCCCAACTCCCTCTTCCAGGCGTCCAAGATGTCCCTGAAGGTGCAGACGAGCAACATCACGAACAAGAATGACCCCAAGTCCATCAACTCGCGGGTGTTCATCGGCAACCTCAACACGGCCGTGGTGAAGAAGTCGGACGTGGAGACCATCTTCTCCAAGTACGGGCGGGTGGTGGGCTGCTCCGTGCACAAGGGCTACGCCTTCGTGCAGTACTCCAACGAGAGGCACGCGCGCGCCGCCGTGCTGGGCGAGAACGGCCGCATCCTGGCCGGACAGACCCTGGGTGAGTAGCTCCTTCCCCCGCTTCGGGGTGCCCCGGGGTGGGCAGCGTGGGTGGGTTGTCCCGTGGATGAAATAATGCGTTCTGGGCTCCTTCCCGGAGAGGAGCCGGGCTGTGGTTGCGATGCAGTCGCAGCCTCAGGTTTAGCACGGAATCAGCTGGGTTGGAAAGGACCTCTGTGAGGTCGTCAAGTCCAGCCTTTGACCCGACACCGCCTTGTCACCCAGCCCATGGCACTGATGGCACGTCCAGTCTCACCTTAAACACCTCCAGGGATGGTGAATCCACCCCCTCCCTGGGCAGCCCGTTCCAATGGCTGAGCACTCTGGAAAGAACTTCTTCCTAATGTCCAACCCCCAGCTTAAGCTGTGCCCTCTTGCCCTACTGCTGGTTGCCTGAGATCAGAGCCCCACCCCCACCTGGCTACAAACTCCTGTCAGGGAGTTGCAGAGTTACGTCAACATTTTGAATTTAAGGAATTACAGAGATAGGATTGAACCACTTTTGTCCCGCAGGTTTTAATGACTGGCAAAATGAGAGCATTTATATAAAATGAATCATTTATCATTACAAGTGATCAGACAAAAGATCAGAATTATTTACCACACGATATAAAAGCTAAAACCAGCAGTAGAAAGATAAGATAGGACAGTGTACTATATTGAAGCAATTACTGAAGCAATTATATTAAAGCTGGCAAACAGAAATAATTATTAAGTGGGGATTTGATGTAACTCACCCAGACCAGTGTTTCTGGGGAGATCCTTTCTCTCAACCTCGAGGAGTGTCCTTGGGGGGGATCCCCACCCAAGGGAGGAATCTCCACTCACACACCCCAGGAAGGGCTCTGGTGGAAGAACCTGCCTGTGTGACAGGGGACTGGACTTTTATGGTATAAACTGATTGACTGCCAGTCACAAACTTCCAGGCCAGCCACCATCTGATCTGTCACATCCAAGTTCAAGCAGCAGGGTGTGTGTTTGGAGTTTGGTGAAGCAGGCTGGTCTTAGCACGAGTCAATGCCAAAAACAGCCCCATGGCACCAGCAGTAACTCAGCACAGAGAGCTGGCACTGTTGGCATTCTCTGATTGGACTCCAGGCCTATATCAGGGTAGCACATCCTGTTCCCCAGTTCCACAGGGGGTGCTCAAGGGATGGCCATCCCAGGTCCAGCTTGGACGTGGACCTGCAGATGGTGTCCAGTGAGGTGAGCAGGGCCCTGGTGACAAGGCAGGTCTGGGGCAGGGCCAGCAGGATCCATGGCTGGGGCAGAGCTGGAGACCAGCACTCCAAAACCACCACCCAGGCAGGGGCCAAAGGCTCCCGTGTGGAATGGGGTCAGAAATGAAGCCACTCATGACCAGTCAGGCACATCAGGGCCCTCAGGGCTTTGACACTGTGGCCCAAAAAGTTGTGTGTGAGCTGTGATTGTGGAAGCTAAAGCACAGTTCTGGATCTTCCCATGTCCTTGTCCTGGAACTGATGGGTGGGAAAAAGACATTGCGTGGTATCAAAGAAAGGACAAGGGGAATGGCTTCAAACTGACAGTAGAGGGTTAGAGGGGATATTAAGAAGAAATTTTCCCCTGTGAGGGTGGGCAGGCCCTGGCACAGGTTGCCCAGAGAAGTTGTGGCTGCCCCTGGTCCCTGCAAGTGTCCAAGGCCAGGTTGGACAGGGCTTGGAGCCACCTGGGCTGGTGGAAGCTGTCCCTGCCCATGGCAGGGGGTGGAATGAGATGTTTTTTAAGGTCCCTTCCAACCCAAACCATTCCATGTTTCAGTGATTCCCTTCCTGGACCAGGCCCTACCCTTAGCCTGTCAGGAAGGTGACAATCTGACTGGGCCCAGCTCAGCCTAACTTTAGCCAGCTGGTGTTAAATGAGAGAACTTCCCCCCACGCTGCACTGCTGTGGGATAAGAACTACCAAGCAAAGCCCCCGGGCTGCTCCCAGCTGCAACCCTGCTTTGCATATTGCTCTGACGTGTCTCATGCTGAGAAGCTCTTGTCACCAGCTCCAAGCTGAGAATTGGAACTGGAGACAATATTTTTAATGAAAAAAGGTGATTTCCAAGCAGGCAGTGGCCACTGGGCACCAGGGAAAGCAATTTGCAGCCCATTCCCACCTTGCTTCTGGCACAGCGGTCTGAAATGAGAGGTTTCCTGCTCGAGCTGATGTGTGAAACAATGTGCTGCCTCAGCTGGGGTTTATCTGGAGAGGAGAAACTTCTTTCCACTTCTCTAATGGTCCAGAGAGTGGAGCTGCAGCCCAGGCCAAGCACAAGCTCCAGGGATGCTGCCAGCCCGGGTGGTGCCCACATGTGCAGCCTGTAGGTAGGATGGGGAGGGCCTGGGGGGGAAAAGGAGCTCCTTGTGATGCTCCACAGAGGTACAGGAGACAGGCAGCACTTGCCCATTTAGCTGAAGAGAGAGATGAAAGGTTTGCAGTGATAGGAACCTCTCTCTGCTCTCAGTGCTGGTCCCAGAGCTCTGGCATACCAAGGCAAGGGACTGTATTAGAGCTGGGTGTCCTCTACATGTCCTGGACAAGGTGGAAATTCAGCTCCCTTTCATCTACCTTCCCTTCATGGGCCACTCTTGCCACTGAAGAGCCCAGCAGGCTTCCCCTTGCTGCCCATGGGGGAGTGTAAACACTGGGATATTCCCCTTCCAGGAGAACCCAGCAGAGAAGGGCTGAGCAGTGTGGCTGGAAAATCAGGGTTGAAAGTCTCCCCCCAAAAGGGGGAGTGATGGTCATGCATGGAGGGGGAGGACAGGATGGGACTGGCTGAAGAGGCTGTCCCTGCTTCTGTTCATGGCAGGGTTTGGGGGTCCTTTGAGGTGATGGTCAAAGTCCCCTGCCCAGGTGGGCAGCAGGAGGGTGAACTTCGTGCCCTGGCAGCCCCAGCCAGTGAGTTGAGCAGGGTGAGCTTCAGCCACGTGTTACTGTGGAACCTGCCCTGCCAGGCTGCATTTGGTGTGACAGGGGCTCAGGGGGCATCGTGGCCCCCACAGTGGGACAGCCTGGCTCCAGGGCCTGGGGTAGGGGCAAAGCATCCCCAACCTGCACAGGGGCAGCAGCTTGTTGGTGTGCAAGGTCACCTGTCCCCAGTGCCACCCCGTGTCCCTCAGGTGACAGTTTCCAGCACGGCCCAGAGTGAATGAGCAGAGCAAGCAGCCTCCTCCTGGCTCACATCTCCCCAGGGCAGCTCTCAGGGCTTTAGGAACAGTTCTGCCATTTATTCTTTGGTTTTCCTTACTCTTCTTCCTTTGTCACCAGCAAAGCAGTCAAACTTGCATTTTAAAGGGTTGACAAGTTGCTGAAAGCATCACAAACGGGGGTGTTTGAAACCACAGCTGCAGCCCCTCCTGTGCTGGGACATGGACTGCTCTGCCAGGCAGGTCCTGGCGACCTCTGTGCCTTCTGCAGATGCTCCCAGACCCCCCAGTCACTGCAGGAGGCAGGTGCCATTGCTGGGGGGAGCTCTGCACTGGGAGCTGGACCCACACCATCCCCTCAGCCTGCCACGCTGGCTGGACAAAGCACAACCTCCCCATTTACTGTGGGAACAAGTGCCTGGATATGAGCAGGAGGGATCAGCAGTGCCTTTGGGTGGGCAGATGGATTCAGGGATGCAGAGGAGGGAACCAGAAAGGGAATGGTATGCAAAATCTGGCCTGGGTGATGTGAAGGCTGAGCTCTTGTCTCTCCCTTTTCACTAGCAGGGGAATCCTGGGGGATCTGAGTGCCCATCACCACTAGAGCTGAGAGGACGAGTGCCCTGCTCTGGCTGCAAGTGGCTGTGAAGGCTCCACAGGGTTCTTGGCAGCAGTGGGGACCAGCAGTTGTCCTTCTGCAGCTTTGGGCTTTCACTGCCTCTCCCCTGAAGGTGTTGATCAGCCTGGTGCTGTAATTACCTCCCCAGCTCACCAGAGAAGTGAGTGGCAGCTGGCAAGATGCACCCTGACAGCAGGAAGGGTTCCCAGCCAGGGAGCTGGGGCTGGCCAGGGTTCTGGGATGCACGAAGGGAGACTCCATTCCTCTCTCCCTCCCAGCAAACAGCCCTGCCAGCAGCGCTGTGTGGCTCAGCAGGCTCGGGAAGGTGATGGTGTGTGTGATGTCACACTGGCAGCAGTTGGCCATGGCCCTGCCCTGTACAGGGCCATGTACAGCCTTGTCAGCGTTCAGCTCAGCTCTCCTGCACCCCCCTGAGCACTGGGAATGGGAGGATGGAAGGACAGAGGGGCAGCAAGGAAAACACACACTGTGAGCAGAACGTCCCAGAGGAGCACTCGGTGTGAGGGCTGAGTGACACCCCAGCACCCCGTGTGAGCTCCAGCCTCAGAAACAGCCTGAGCTCCAGCCTCAGTGGTCTCTTGGCAGACCCTGACAGGCAGCCCAAGGAATTGCACAAGGCATTTGGGCAGTGGGAGCGTGTCTGTGCTCCTCCAGAGCCGTGTCCCACCGTGCTCCTCCTCCTGCTCAGCTCGTTCCAGCAGTGCTGCAGTTCCCTGCTGCTCCCGAAGGTGATTTTCTTGGTTAATAACAAAAAGTCAGAAGAATGTTCCTTGGGATCACTTTGCAGGGGCTTTATTTTTGGTGTGTGGACCAGCCTGTCCACATTTCTCCATAAAGTGCCTCCAGGCAGCATGAAAAAAAAGGAAGTTTAAATGGCCTGATGTGCTAAAAGCTGTTTGGATATTCCGTAAGCTGCAGGTGGCAGAAGTCAAGGATTGCTGAAGAAACACTTCCCTGGGAGGGTGGGCAGGCACTGACACAGGTTGCCCAGAGAAGCTGTGGCTGCCCCTGGATCCTTGGAAGTGTCCAAGGCAAGGTTGGACGGGGCTTGGAGCAACCTGGGCTGGTGGAAGGTGTCCCTGCCCATGGCAGGGGGTGGAACTGGATGAGCTTTAGGAGAAGGTCCCTTCCAACCCAAGTCCCTCACCACCCTCACAGCAAAGAATTTCTTCCTAATCTCTAATCTAAACCTACTCTCTTTCAGTTTGAAGCCATTCCCCCTTGTCCTGTCACTCCTTACCTTTGTAAAATGTCTCTCTCCAATTATTGTCGTGTTTATTCTCATGTCAGAAATGTCTGGCTCTGAGACCAAGGGGAGAAATGCCCTCAGTGGATTAGAGGAGCTCACTCTCCCCTCCTCTGGTGGAAGATGCTCCTTTGAGATGAGCTTTCACCACAGCCCAACCCCCAGCAGTGCCCTCCTGGCTCCTGCTGAGCTTTCCTGGTCCTTCCAGAAGGAGCCAGGGGTGGGTTGCCAGCAGTCATCAAGGTGCAGCAGGTTTATATGTTGTCTGTGCTTTATCACAGCAGCACCAAGTTCTCCCCAGAACCTTGTTCTGACCCTGGGTGTGGATCAGAGCACGGGCAGGGCCTTGACTGCAGAGTGACCGGTCGTTGGCTTTGTGAAGGAAAAGGAGGAGGTTTTTCCAAATGCAAGATTTTGCTTTCTTGTGGAGGTCCAGCAGGCCCCCAGACGTGCCAAAAAGCGGGTGGAAATGGGGTGGGAGGTGTGGAGGAGCCTCTGCGTGGCCAGGGTGGATGCAGGTGAGCAGGGCCATGTCACAGCTGTGTGTCCCTTCCTTGCAGATATCAACATGGCTGGGGAACCCAAACCCAACAGACCCAAAGGGCTCAAGAGAGCAGCCTCTGCCTTGTACAGGTAGGTCTCCACCACATCACCTCCCTTCGATAAAGTCTCCAGGTTGGTCTTTGCCCCCTGCCCTGAGCTCCCTGCTCCCCATCCCAGCACCTGGGACATCCAGGGCTCCTCCAGGGCTCCTCCCAGGTGCTCCTGGTGCTTTGCAGTGCCCTCAGGGCTTGGCTGAGGGGAGGAGAACCAGCACAAGGCAGCAGTGGCTGCCCCAGGGTTGGCCAACCCTTGTGGTGTGCTGGGACTCTGCCTGGGCAGGGTCCTGGAGCTGGTTGGAAAGGGTGGGCAGGACCTGCTTTCCCCACATCAGAGGCCTTGAAAGAGGAGCACCAAGACAGAGAAAGGAAGAGAAGAAAAGAAGAAAGTGGGAAGCCCTTGAGGTGTCCAGGGGAAGCCCCAAGGGAGCCTGGATTGAGGAACAGTGACCAAGGGATCAAGGGAATGTGAGGCACAAATGGGACGTGGAGCAGGTCTGTGGGGGAGGTAGAACATTACAGATGTCAAAATGAGCCTTCAGCTCTTGAGACTTCACCGCAATTTTCACAAAAAGTGAAGATTTTCATTTAAGCCCCAGACTGGAGTCAGGGGAGTGTGGGAGAAGCTCGTTAAGTTTTTTGCTCCTGTGGTTGCAGAGGGGAAAACTTGAAAAGGTATTTGAAGAGTGCCCTGCAGGTTCAAGAACCCAAAACCAAATAACAAGATCCCCAAATGTGCTTTATTTATAAATTCTCATTGTTTTGATGCCAGCCTCGTGGTGTGGAGACTGGGGAGCTGAGTCAGGAGGCAGAAGGTGTGACTTTGGGAAGGAAAGATTAAAATTAGTATCAGGGTTATAGGTGGGTGTAGTAAAAAGGGAAATCATGAGAGAACTGCAGGGTTTTTTATACAAAAAGGAGGAAAAAAAAAGAGGGATGAGGAGAAGCCACAGTTCAGACTCAGCCATGTGGTGAGCTGTGGAATGGCAACCCTTGGTGGTGACAACACTGTTCTGGCACAGACAGACCCTCCTGAGCCCCAGAAGCCCTCCCACCACCCACAGGGTGTGGAGACCTTCCACAAGTCTCAGCTGAGACTTGGCAGCTTTCAGGGACATTTTGCCTCCCACCCTGGGCCAGTTTGGACCTTCAGCAGGACGTGGCCCTCTGGATTCCCACCTGAGGGGAGTGAGGCTGTGCATTCCCCACACTGATGGAAACAGAGGTGACACAGATCTGGCTGTTTGTACAGCACATGCCCAGCTCAGGTGGGGCTGGGCCAGAACACACATCAGCTCCTTCCATCCATCTTGTACTAACGAGCATTTCATTCCCTGCTCACCCATGCCTGGAGCTCTAATCCCTGTCTGTGGAATGCCCAGTATTCCAGACTTCCAGGCTGCTGAGAGAGAGCAAGCAGGAGAATGTTTGTTCCCTCCCACAAATATGGATATGCTAAAAGATGGGCCAGAGAACTGCACTGCTCTGAGCACCAGCAATATTTCATCCCAGACTGGCTGTCAGATTTAAACTTTGCCATCTGGACTAGCAGAACTTCCCATGTCCCCCAGGAAGCAGGGAATGCAGGTTTGCAGGGAGATGTGGTTACAGCTTCCTGAACCACCATCCATTTTTCTAAATGTTAGACTTCAAAAAAAAAAATCACAGCAGCATCATTTATAGAAATGCTGTGTTAAACACGGCACGGGAGTTTTCCTGGATTCGTGCTGGAAGAGCTGCCCTGTGCTCAAAGCCTGATTCCAAAGGTGCAGCTTAAAGCATCCAGGCACTGCCTCCCTGGCATTGTCTGTTAAACCATGACTGACTGGGATTTTATAGCAGGGTCAAACAGCCACACACTTATTCCCTTATTACTCCCTTATTATTATTCCCTTATTCCAGCCTGCTGCCTTCCCTGAAGGTTGTCCCGTGGTCAGCAGGTACTGAAGCATGACTGCCAGAGGCTGGGATCAGTGTTTTGGGAAGTCAGGACCAGCTCCCCAGGATAATTATGCCCCTAATTCCCTTTGAAGCAGGTGGAATTGTCTCCAATCCCACAGAAACTCAGGCCAGTTCCTCCCACCCTGGTGCTTTGCACCCCCAGATGTTCTGCAGTCCAGGCATGGGGTGACCCCTCCACTGCCTCTCTAAACACACTGCAGAGCTGGCCCAGGAGTGATTCCAGCAGGAAAATGCAAGGCTGCCCTCTTTGGTCCCACATTCTCCATGGAAATAGGGAATAACATTTACAGGGTTCATTGGCCACTTCATCCAGCAAACTGCTGTTTGACCAGTCTTGGGGAGTTCACCTGAGCTTTCAGGCTTCTCCATCCTTCTCCAGTCCACACCAGGTTGGATCTGCAGGTATTTGAGGCCAGGATTTATCCTGTTGGTGCTGGAGCTGAGCCTGGGAGTGAGGTGGAGGTGCCCAAACACAGGGCAGGGTCAGTGATGGAGAGATGGAGGGTGTCTGCCCTGTTCAGGGCTTCATTCCTCATTCCCAGATGCCAGGCTTTGCCCAGGACAGCGCTGGCAGCAGCAGGGCAGTGCCCCTGGGATGGGGTTGGAGTTTCCCAACCAGGATGGGGCTTCCCTGGGGAGCAAAAACTTGGAGGAAAAGCTCCTGGAGTGTGAATGGGGTCAGGAGAAAGGAATGTGGCCATTTCAGAATCTTGCCAAATATCCCCCAAGGTTTGTGCTGTTTATGAACAAATGCCCTAAAGCTGCCTCGTGGTCTCCAAGCCACAGAGAACTTCCTAACATGAACCACTCCCCAGGGAAGGGGTTTCTGCTGGGAATAAAGACACTGATTATGGAGAGATGCCACTGTTTTCTCTTGCCTGTGGCTACAGAGAACATTGGCTCCAAGGCATTGCTGCAGTAAGTCAAAAACACTTCACCAGAGCCTGTCAGGATTGAAAATATTACAAAATTGCAGCAATTTCGTTTGAGTGATTCTAAGGAGGGGGAAAAAATTGAAGAGAGGGAGTCTGACAATGTAGAACCATCCTGGTTCAATTTTCCTGTCAAATGACTTCCTATTTTGATGGTATTCTGTGTTTATTGGATTCAAACAGGACTGGAGCCAAACATCTTTGGTGATCAGGATAGATTGGCAGGCTGCTTTCTTGGAGATTTTCTGTATCTCCAGGTTTCATCCGAGGTTAGAAAGAAAATCAGGTTACCGGTCACAGAAACCTCATGAAGACCCATCTCGTTCCATGCTGCCCATCTCCTCAGCCACACAAACAGCTGGGGTTTTTCCCAGCAGGAGAATTAACCTTCCCCTTGCAATTCAGAAGAGGGAATGAACAAACATCATGCAGTGGTCGGGACTGAGGCTGCAGGGTATTCCTCTGAGCCCAGCAGAAATGTTGGCCCCGACTCGGGTCAGAAGGGGAGGGCACCAAGACTGAAAGGAATTTGAAATTTTTGCCTGTAAGGCTGTCAGAAATGGCTATTTGTCATCAGAAACTCAATTGGATTGGGAAGGGTGGTGGTGATAACACCCCCATGGTCACATCTGCCCTCCCCCCAGCCATGAATGCCGTGGGCAGCAGCTGCTCAGGGGGAAGGTCCAGATCTGTAAGGAGTCCCTGGCAGGCTGTGGTGGTGGCAGCAAACCCCAGAGGAGGCAGTAGGTGCACATGCCTCGTCCTTAACCCCTCACACCAGCTCGGGGGCCCCAGAGGAGCCCTGGTGTGTCCAACCACCCACACTGTGCTCAAGGCCCCCTGAGGCACACACTGAGTCTCCACGTGTGCCACAGCTGTCTGGGGAACCCAAGGAGCATCCAAGGAACATGGAAAAATCCCATTTAAGAAATCAGCCACTACCTGAAACTCAGCAGTGGATGGGAAGCCCAGACTCCTTGGGTTTAGCCCGGAATTCCTGGTCCAAGCCACACTTCCCACCAGCCTTTCAAGCCAGCCACATGTTCTTCTTGTCACTTCTTCTTTAGATGCTGGACACCAAATTTACTCTCAGCTACACACCTGAGTGCTCATCCTTCCCTCTGCCCATCCCAGATCCTCCTGGCTCAGAGTCCTTCCTTTTTCCCATCAATCTCTCTTCCCAATAGATTGTTTTCACAAGCCAGTTCAAGGAGTTTCAGGAAGCAGGACAGGCTGTCTGTTTTCAGGGGCTGCGAGGGGGAACTGTCAGCATCACTCCTGACCTGCCCAGGCTGACTGAGAGCCTCAGCACAGCAGGGAAATGGGGCAGCTGGGGCATCCACAGCCCCAGAGCGGCTCAGACCACCTGCTCTGTGCTGCCTTGGGAAAAAAACAGCTGCAGCAGGAGGGAAAACCAGCTACTGGGTGTCCAGGGAGTGGGAAATGTGCGGACTTTGGGTTAAAATGCAGCTCAGATTTAAGAAAATTGGCTGTGGGCATTATCTGGCTGGGGGTAGGAGAGGTTTAAACACCTTCGAAAGCAAAGATGTTAAATTAATATCCTTCCTGACTTCTCTCCCTGCACACCTTGAGAGAACCAGATTAACACTCTGCTGCCATCACCCCTCTCTCCAGTGCCTTAAGCCCCCCTAAATCTTCCTCCTGGGCTCAGCCCAGGTCTCTGCTCTCCCCTTTATGGAGGGGGAGCCATTTCGTCATCCTTTCTGTTGCTGGGGGTGCTGAGCAGGCAGTGAGGGAGCAGTGCTGATGAATGCCCAGCATTAATGAACCTGTGCTCCCCTCACTGTCTCTGCAGCGGCTACGACTTCGACTACGACTATTACAGAGACGACTTCTACGACAGGTGAGCAGGGGAGGGTCAGCCCAGGGAGGGGGTTCTGTGGGGTAAGACCTTCCCTGCAGTCTGGGGAGGGAGGTGGGTGCAGGGTGGGGTCTGCTGGCCAGGCTGTGCCCTGGATGTCCACCAGCACCACCAGCTGGGTGTTGGGGCGGGGCTGGGGGTGCCGCAGGGCTGCTTCACCCCCTCCATCCTTCCCCCCAACTCCAGGCTCTTCGAGTACCGGGGCAGAGTGTCCCCCGTGCCCAGGGTGGTCCCTGTGAAGAGGCCCCGGGTCACCATCCCGCTCGTGCGGCGCGTGAAGGCCTCGCTGCCCGTCAAGCTCTTCGCCAGGTCGGCCGCCATCGCCAACAGCTCGGCCAAGCTCAAGTGTGAGTGTGGCAGGGGGATGGAAGATGCCCCAGAGGAGTGGGGATCAACCAGGCCAAGTGCCAGGTCCTGCCCTTTGGCCACAACAACCCCCGGCAGCCCCCCGGGCTGGGACAGAGTGGCTGGAGAGCAGCCAGGCAGGAAGGGAGCTGGGAGTGTGGAGGGACAGGAGCTGAACAGGAGCCAGAGTGTGCCCAGGGGGCCAAGAGGGCCAAGGGCTCCTGGCCTGGCTCAGGATCAGTGGCAGCAGGAGCAGGGAGTGATTCTTGCCCTGCACTCAGCGCTGGGGAGGCCACCCCTGGAGTGCTGTGTCCAGCTCTGGGCCCTCAGCTCAGGAAGGACATGGAGGGGCTGGAGCAGGGGCAGAGAAGAGCAACGAGGCTGGGGAAGGGACTGGAGCACAAGTGCTGTGAGGAGAGGCTGAGGGAGCTGGGGTTGTTGAGCCTGGAGAGGAGGAGGCTCAGGGGAGACCTCAGCACTCTCTGCAACTCCTGACAGGAGGGGGGAGCCAGGGGGGTTTGGTCTCTTCTCCCAGGAACCAGCAGCAGGACAAGAGGGCTCGGTCTAAGCTGTGCCAGGGGAGGTTTAGGTTGGATATTGGGAAGAAATCCTTTACAGAGAGGGCTCAGCCATTGGAATGGGCCGCCCAGGGAAGAGGTGGATTCACCATCCCTGGAGTTTTTAAGAAGAGACTGGATGTGGCATCAGTGCCATGGGCTGATTGTCAGGGTGGTGCTGGGGTTGGACTTGATGATCTCGGAGGTCTTTTCCAACCTGGTTGATTGTGTGATTCTGAGATTCTGTGGGTGTGCACATGGACCCCCTGGCCCCAGGCACCCATCCACGGGCAGGGTGCTCCCAGGGAAAGCCTTCACCCCAAAGAATCTGGGGAAGGGTTAGGCCAAAGCCTGGTGTCAGTCTCCACAAGCTGCCTGGGCAGCAGACTCACAGGCTTTTTTGGGTGCATACAGCCCCCTGCACCCCCAGCAGGCAGCAGGGACTGAGGAGCATGTCTCCAGTGTGGGGTTCCCCCCCGTGTTTTTGCCCTGCTCAGCAGTTGTGGTTCCTCCACATCTGTAACCCTGGGCCAGGGGGTGAGGGCGGGCTCTGCGGGTGCTCTGCAGGGCACTGAAGGCCTTTTTTTTAACTCCCTTCCTCCCTCCAAGTGAAGAGCAGTGAGCTGCAGACAATCAAAACTGAGCTGACACAGATCAAGTCCAACATTGATGCTCTGCTGGGCCGGCTGGAGCAGATTGCAGAGGAACAGAAGCTGTCTGCAGGTCAGTGGGGTGTGGGGGTGCCTGTGGGGCCAGCCCTGAGCAGCACAGCTCAGAGCATCAGTGAAGGGGCAGCCCCAAGAATCCAGGCTAGAAGCACAAGCCATAATTACATACCAAAATTCCCCAAATTATGGACTTGGGGTTTAAAATTAGGAGGCTTTTTTGTTCTTTAGTCGTATGGTTTGTATTTGCTTAGTTTTCTTTTTTTGCTATTATTCTGTTCTACTCTACTCTGTCTTAGCCTAGCCTATCCCATCCTACCTGGCTCCCACACTCCCTGGAGTGATGTAGAACCTGCTCTGCTCTTTCCAAGGTCTCTGGGGCAGTTTCCTCAAAATCAGCAAAACTTCCATTTGCAGAAAAAACCCTGAGTTCATTATTTACCCCCCACCAAGGGAATTTGGGAGCCCTCTGCATTGATGTGCCCAGGCTCTGGCAGTGCCCCCAGCCCCTGATCCCTCTGCATTGATGTGCCCAAGCTCTGGCAGTGCCCCCAGCCCCTGATCCCAGTGCTTTTTTCCCCTCAGAGGTTCGGAAGAAGGCTGAGAGCAGCAAAAGTGAAGTGTCCCAGGAGGACACGGCGTCGGAGGCCGAGGCCAACACAGAGGAGCCGCTCAACGGGGACGAGGGGGAGGAGGAGGGTCTTGCACGGGATGAGTGTGAAGATGAACTGGTAAGAGGGCTTGGATGATGCCTCCTCCCAGCCAGAGGCGTTTGTAGTGGACCACAGTTTTACTGGAACTTGCTAAATCCCCAGGAAAAATAGTTTTCCCTTCCTCAAAAGAAATTGGTGTCTGTAAATCCCATGATTGTTCTCAGCTCGTTCCTCCAAACTGTTCTGCTGCCCTTGCAAATGTGTGTGGACATGCTGAAGAAACATGCTTGGCTCTTGAGATTCAAACCACATTTATCCTTGATTTCACAAGTAGTGATTGTTTAAACCAAATTGCTCTGCTCCCAAGTAATTCTTGGGTGGATTTAAACACGTGGCAAAGACAGACCGTGGTAAATTAACTGCACTCTCCTGACTGTGTGCATTTGCAGTGCCCTTCCATCTGACCAGACAGCCATGGAATCACAGGAGGGATCTGAAAGACCCTCCAGTTCCACCCACTGCCACGGGCAGGGACACCTTCCACCAGCCCAGGTTGCTCCAAGCCCTCTCCAACCTGGCCTTGGACACTTCCAGGGATCCAGGGACAGCCACAGCTTTTCTGAGCAACCTGTGCCAGGGCCTCCCCACCCTCCCAGGGAAGGATTCCTTCCCAGTATCCCATCAAACCCTGCCCTCTGGCAGTGGGAAGCCATTCCCCCTTGTCCTGTCATTCCATGTTTGGGTATGGCAGGGCCATACAGGGAGACATCAGGACAGGCACTGGAAGAAGAAAGGCACAAGCTCTGTGCCAGTTGGATAAGGAAGGCCAGGTTTGAATTACATCAAGGGAAACAGATGGGAGAAATTAAGGAGTAACTTGCTGATGTTAATGATGATAAAGCAGCACACGGCCTGTCAACAAAAAATGTGGACTTCTCTGCCATTGTTGGGATAAGAAAACAGTGGACAGACATCTGCTGGCAATGGTTTGGGAAGAGCTGGTCTTCATTAAGAGATGAACAGGATGACTGTTTCAGCTCCCTTGCATCTCTGTTTTCTGTAACTCTCTGGTCCTGAAGTGGCTTTGAGACCAGAAATATTTCCCTGCCAACATCAGACAGGCTCCCAGGTGCTCTCCTGGGGCAGGTCAGTGCGTGCAGGTCGTGTGAGGGTCTCAGTCACTGAGAGGCAGCTCACCAGAGCCAGCCTTTAGAGTGTGCTCCTGACCTTACAACACTCAACAGCTCTGGAGTCTTCCCAGTTCCTGGGGAGTGACTCCCTTATCCCACACCTCTTTGGCTCACACACATCCCTGTGGCCATCACCACCTGCTGTCCATGGCCATGGTGCCCTCATGGGTGCCTGAAATCCCTCTGGCTCTGCTCCATCAGCTCTGTGTGAGGGACCTCTGACTCCTCTCCTGTAACACCCCTGCCCCTCAAAGCCAAAGGGTTTTTTTTGGACCACCAATCCAAATGCACTTGTTAAATATTGAGCTCTCAGCAGTGAATTTAGTTGTGGAAAATAGTTGATAAGTGCAGCATAAAGTGGCTGATTCATAGATTTTCTGCTGTGCTGGTGCAGTTTTGGCTTAGCAGCACAAGTCTGAGGGGCTGAAGGAGCTGGGGGGGCTCAGCCTGGAGAAAAGGAGGCTCAGGGGGGACCTTCTGGCTCTGCAACTCCCTGACAGGAGGGGGGAGCTGGGGGGGCTCAGGCTCTGCTCCCTGGGAACAAGGGACAGGATGAGAGGAAACAGCCTCAGGCTGCACCAGGGGGAGGTTTAGATGGGATATTAGGGAAAATTTCTTCCTTGAAAGGGTGCTCAGGCATTGGAGCACTTTAGAGTGTTCCTCCTTCCTGGGTTTATCCCCTTTTCCTGGGATAGATGGGACTGAAACTCAGGCAGCGCTTTATTCAGATCTGAGGTGTCCTGCCCACCTCCCTCCCCTCCAGAACACACCCAGGTGGTGACTGCCTGTTTCTGGTTCCCTTTTCCCTGCAGGAGAACAGCCATTACACAGATGTGGAGGATGCCAGACTACAGTAACCAGGTACAGCTCCCACCCCGCTGTCTGGGGGCTCGTTCTGAGCAAGAGCTCTCGTTCTGTGCGTGTTGGGGTGGGGGTTGCTGCTTCAGAAGATGCTCTTTCCCACTGATCCTCTGTGTTTTTGGAGCAGGGAGCTTGGCTGCTCAGCTGGGTCACTGGCCAGCCCCTCACTCCCTGTCCTAAATGCCAAATCTTTGGGGTTCAAGGACAATGATGTCCCTCCCCCTTCTCTCCTTGCAGCCCTCTCAGAACAGCAGTGAGCAACTGTGTGAGGAAAGCACGAGGCTAAACCCTGTCCTGGCACGTTGAGCAAGGCAAGCTGAACGGAAGTGCTGCTGTCATCTCTACCTGGCATCCAAAAGGAGAAACATGGCCCGACATCTTCCATCCATCTGTAAAGCAAAGACAAGGAAATCTCATCATCCCAGCGAATCCCCACTCCCCCTGCAATGGATTGGGAGCTCTGCAGCCAGAGGAGGCAGGAGCCAAACCTGCACAGCCCAGAGCCACCCCAGACTGGAGAACAGGAGAGCTGTGTCCCCAGGGAGTCCGAGGGGTTTGCAGGAGAGCAGGGAGGGCTCAGCCCAGCCCAGTGCAGACGTTTTTCCCCGTGTGAGGTGAGAGCCAGAGCATTTCCTGACTGAGGGAGAAGTACTGTCTCAGTGTGGATGGTTTGTGTTCTTGCACTGGGGATCCTGGTGAGGAGGAGGGTGTGGGGTGAGCTGTCCTCCAGAACAGTCCCCTCCTGTCACGGCTCTCTTGCCCCGTGAACCGCCGTGGGTCCACAGGCACTTCCAGGCGGGAAGGAGTCGGAGCTGGAGCTCGTGCTGTGCTCTGGAAGCTGCTTGAAGAGGGAAGGGGAGAGGAAGCTGCAGGAAAGCAAGTGATCCCCAGCAGGAGGAACAAAGCCAACGTCACCTTCAGTGGTTTGGTGTCCTCGTTCTCCCCTGGGAAGGCACCGTGTGAAGGCTGAGCGAGTCTCTGCAGAGTGAGGGGAGGGGGGGGATGTGGGTGAGACCCTTTGCTTGGACCAGCTGCTCCCTGGGAGGGATGGAGAGCACCCACTTCTGCAGCCCAGTGCCAGAGACATCAGCCCCTCCCCTGGGGAGCCCCCAGCTCCTCCTGCCCCATCTCACACCGACCTGGCACGTCGGGAGAGCTCCAACAGCTCCTGCTCTGTCACAGCCCGAGGGGTCCGTGCAGTGTGACAGCCCCTGGGGACAGCACAGTGCACGTGGGTGTGCAAGCACCTCCCCTGCTCCCCAGAGTCCATCCAGCTGCTCCCCAGCCGTGCCCTGGCCGTGAGCAGGGGCTGCACGGCCCTCGGGTGGCTCCTCGGGGGGAGCCCCCTCGTGCCGCAGCACCCCAAGAGCTCTCAGCCTTTCTCCTCCTCCTTCTTGGGCTTACCCGGTTTTCCTGGGGTAGATGGGGCTGAAACTCACTGCAGCACTTTATTCAGATCTGATGTGTCCTGCCCACCTCCTTCCCTTCCAAAACACACCCCCACACCCAGTGCTTTGACTCCAGCCCGGTGTCCACCCCTTCTCCTGGGTCAGACCCTCCCACACCACGCATGGCCCCGGGTCCTTCCGAGTGCTCCAACCTCATCCACGGCATCTCTGAAGGATGAAGGGGAAAACAGGCCTGGGGGCAGCACCCAACACCCCCACCACCCCACCAGGGCCACCCTGGAGCGAAGCACAAGGTTTGAGTTGCGTTCCTGAGTTTGGAATGTTTGGTGAGGGATCAGAGGGATAACAGAGCTGTCCCCTCCCTGTGCCGGTTCCTGTCCAGTCTCCACTGTTGTCCTGAGCCTTGTAGAGCTGTTTTCTAGGCCTGGAGAGATGAGTTGCAGTTTTTGCTATGAACTGACTGTGATGCTGATGTTTGGGAGAAAGGTGACCTTGTACATACGACCCTGTATAATAAAAGAAAGAAATCTAATTTGCTTTCCCTCTCTTCTCTCTCTGTCTCACACACAAACGCTCTTTTTTTTCTTCTACTTCAGACAAGTCTTCTCCTTTCTAAGCCTCAGCTCTGCCCACAGGATTTGTTTTCCCCTACACAAGGTATATCCCACTGGGCTGAGCAAAACATCTGGGTCCATGAGGGCTCTGGAGGCTCAGGAACTCCTTGGATGCAGCAGAGCAGGGGACAAATCCAGGCCTTTAATCTCTGGACTTTGCACTGGTCCAGCTCCATAACAGACTGGAAAAATCTGGCTGCTGTTCCAGTTTGCACAAGGCAGGTTTTGAGTCCTAAAAGGTTTTCTGCTGAGCCTGGTCTGAGCTGTCACCCAGCACTGGAGGGCAAAGCTGCCTATTGCAGCTTGTGGAGATCCTGGTGAGTCTGAGGATGTTTGATCATCCCTCCATCCACCCACCTGTCCATCCATCCCTCCATCCACCCACCTGTCCATCCATCCTGCCCTCAGTCACCAGTTCACTTCAAGAAGAGGAAAGCAGCAGCATTGCAAGGGGAAGGAGGAAATGGGGGAGGGAGGAAAAAACAAACAAACAAAAGCCAAAATGGCTCTAAAGAACATGAAAATCAGCCCTACCTGAGCTCTGATGAGCCAGGTGCCCAGCTCAGGGTGGTTGTGGGGCAGTGCCTGGAGGCTGGGGCTGGGTCACTCCAACTTCAGGCTGTTAGAGCCAAGGTCTCCCAGTGAACAACTGGATTGATGTTGTTAATTATTTTGGGGGGAGAGCAAGGGACTTTGGAAGCTCCTAGGCAGCCCCCCTATGGTCATTAACTTGGCTGTAGGTGGAGCCTCAGTGAAATGAGTTCTGGGGTTTTGGTGCTCATGGGTTCTGTACCATCCAGAGGGATCCACATGGGATGTGAGGGTGCAGCAGTGGGTGGGAAAGGGGACACACACACACCCCCTTCACACCTTCAGGCCATGAATCAGCTTCCTTCCTTCCTTCCTTCCCTCCCTCTCTTTCTTTCTTTTTCTTTCTTTCTTTCTTGTTATCTGGGAAAAGAGACCATCCCCCACCTGCACCCCATAAAGGATGGAGATGCTCAGCCCTCCTTTTGTTGCTGATGTATTTACAGCAGGATTTTTTGTTCTTTTATGGCAGTAACCAGATTAAGTTCTAGTTGACCCTTCTAATTTTGTCCCTGCATAACTCCAGACACCCTTGTAGCCCTCCTGAGCTGCCTGGCCCTTTTTCCAAGGGTCAAAAAATCTCCTTTTTAACTCAGTTCCAGCCAAATGTTCAGCCAGGCCTGTTTTCTTTCCCGTCATCTCATCTTTTAGCACATAGGGACAGGCAGCTCCTGAGCCTTTAGGATTGTCCTGGCCCACAGAAAGATGTGTGGTCCTCCCCAAGGCCTTTAAATATCCCCAGCACAAAGGGATGTGTCAGATCCCATTAGCTCTTCAAGGCATGTAAAGGGGTCCCACCCCATCTGCATCCAACCTCCTTTTCTATGGGCCAGTGTCCCCACAGAGTCACTCCCTGTAATCCTCCCTGCCTTGTTGGGGTGTGGGAAGACAAGGGTTGGGCCAGTCCATTCTCCCCAGAACATCCCCCCAGGCAGCAGTCAATGCCACATCTGCATATTCTGAATTAAAGCGACCCACAGGAACGGAGCAGCAGAGCTGAACATACACACATTTCCACGGGGTGAACTGGGGGAAAAAAAAAAAGCAGCCTTTGTTAAAGGCTTTCTCCAGCACCCCACAGAGGGAAGATCCCCTTACCAAGTGTCCTGGACCTCTCCTGAGTCCCACGTTTGCTGCTCTGCTCGTCGCCGTCCCACCAGTGTTGGGTGGCAGGAGCAGCGTGGGCTTGGCTGGAAACAAAACTCAAAGTCTCCAACCCCACTGCCACTCCTGCACCTCAGCAAAGGAAACATGGAGTGTCTGGGGTGGCCAGCACACTCTGGGCTTGGATGTGCTGCTCTGGATGGGATGGGCAGATGTGCAGGGAGCTTTGGTGCTCTGCTTTTCACACGCTGCTCTGGGCTCTCAGAGCAACAGAGCAGGGTTACTCCATCCCCAGATCCTCCTTTCATGTGCTTCTGGACATGGAAAGACACTCTGTGGGGCCAGAACGCCTGTAATCATTCAGTCTGAGCCAGGAGATGTAACAAAAGCTTCCACTGGTTTAATAACTTCCATTGACTTCAATAAGCATCACAGTTCCAGTCCATAAGTGCTTTGGAAACACTTCAGTTACTGCAGCTCAAACAGGACCATTCTCTGGGGAATTTGTAAGAGCCAGTTGCTGTCTCTGGGACAGTGGTTATATCCTTCCTGCATTGTCCTTCTGTTATCTGCAGGAAATTTAATTCCATCTTTTTCCTCTTCTCAAGAAAGTTTCAGAAACATTCAGAGATGCAGTCGAGAACCCCAAGGGCTCCTGGTGGAGTCCATCCGTCCTCTGCCAGGAAAACACACCCAGGACAGGGCCAGTGATGCTGAGAGGACTCAGCCAGGAGTCCATGGCTGTGCTGCTCCAGTTTAGCAAGAAAACACTTTATAACACTCCAGTTCAGCACCTTCTCACGGGGGACATTTCAGGTGGATCATTTTCTGTGCCAGGCTCAGGGTGCAGGGGACATTTCAGGTGGATCATTTTCTGTGCCAGGCTCAGGGTGCAGGGGACATTTCAGGTGGATCATTTTCTGTGCCAGGCTCAGGGTGCAGGGGGGGCAGCCCAGGCAGGATGGGGGGCAGAGCCACACTGGTGCAACACTCCCTGTGTGTGTGCCTGGAGCTCCCTCCTGCTGGATGATCCTGAGCCACTCAGGGCCAGGAGGACAGGCCTGGCAGCTCAGCTGGGACATCCCCTCCTGATGTTCACCCTGTGCTCCAGCTCAGCCCCTGCTCAGAAGATTCCACTTCATCCCAAAAGGCCAAGGCAGCCTTGATTTTGGCCAGCTCGGGAGGAGCTCTGTGGCCACAGCTCAAATGGATTGGGACAGTGGAGAAGGCCTGGAATTCTAAACAGTCATGGACAGAACATACTGGAGATCCACCCCCCAGCCAGCCAGCCCCAAAGAGCCCAACCAACAGGGAAACCTCAACAGCACCCACAGCCCAAAGCCTAAATCAGCACCCCCAGAGGTGACTGCACAGCTCCTTCAGAGGAGCAGAGAAAGCAATTCCTCCTCCCTCTGCTGTCTGAGGGTGTTGGGAAGTGTGGGGACAAGGCAGCAAAGAAAAGTGTTTTAAGCTCCATTTTAATTTTTTCACGTGCGTGGTGGAAAAAAAAAAAGAAAAAAGGTTATTTTAGTGCCAAACAAAAACACAGCACAAGGCCTGGAACAGGCTCTGGGGGCAGAGAGCAGTACAGAAGCACTGCAGTCCACAAGACAAAAAGTAACAGGAAATTCTTTACTTGCCCTCTGTGCCTAATTCTCAAAATTATTCACATCTGACTGCTCTCCCTGTAACGAAGGCAAGGAATCTCCCTTTTCCTTTCTAAATAAAAATTCGTATTATCAGCAGAGGACTGTAAAGCCATGTTGGAAGCACCAAGATCCTGCAAGAAAACTGGAGAGGGACCTTGGACATGGCCTGGAGTGACAGGACAAGGGGGAATGGCTTCCCACTGCCAGAGGGCAGGGTTAGATGGGATATTGGGAAGGAATCCTTCCCTGGGAGGGTGGGCAGGCCCTGGCACAGGTTGCCCAGAGAAGCTGTGGCTGCCCCTGGATCCCTGGGAATGTCCAAGGCCAGGTTGGATGGGGTTTGGAGCAACCTGGGCTGGTGGAAGGTGTCCCTGCCCATGGGAGGGGGTGGAATGAGATGAGCTTTAAGGTCCCTTCCAACCCAAACCATTTTGGGATTCTGTGATCCAGCCATGTCACCTGACACTGGTGACAATCACAAGGACCTGCTCCACCCCCAGTGAAATGCTTCCACGTGGGAGAGAGAAATACATGAAAACAATGGGATAATTACCCAAAGCAGGGCTGGGGGAAGAAACAGAGGGTTTCAAACTAATTTGCTTTACTGCAGAATGGAGAACTAAGGAAGCTGCCTCTGTTACAAAGCCCAAAAGCCCTGTGAGCCCAGAGAGCCCATGCAACAGGTTCCACACATTTCTGCTGGGTATTCCATTGAAAAATGCCTATTAACCCAGGTGGAAAACAATGACTGATAATTTCAGAACCATGCCCTTGTTTGCAACAACGAGCATTAAGGAGTGGGCCTGGTCTCTGAGACACAAGCAGAAGGGAAGGGAAGAAAGTATTTCTCCTCCTGCCAGGAAAAGCCAATTTTATTGGTTTATCAGGCAGCAACCTGTTTCCAGGGGCAGCTGGAATTTCTACTTCTGGATAAAGAGCTGTGGCTGCTCCCTTGGGCTTGGGGCAGGCACTGACAGCACAGGCTCAGCCGTGGTTTTAGAGAGATCAGATGAGAAAGGACAGTGTGTGACACCTGTGTGAATATGGATGTAGAGTTTATCTATATTCATCTGTGGTTACAGTAAGAGCAGTGTCTCCCCAAGCTCTTTCTAAAAAAACTAAGGCTGGCTGAACTGCCTCAGGAGGCACTTCCCTGTCTTCCCCTTTGGAATACTTAAAATAAAGAAAAAGCTGAAATAATTCACAATAATGAATAATAAAACAGCTGAAATAACCAAAGATTTTTTAGCCCAGGGACTGGAGCTGGGTGAGGTCCCTTCAAGCCAAAGGCTTGTACAGATGAAATAGTACATGTGAAAGATCAGCAAGAGCCCTTGAACCTGTTTGTCTCGGGGGAAGATGTTTCTCTTTAGGAGGAAGAAAAGCAAAACCAATTCTTTTGGAAGCTGGTGTGGCTTTGCAGTTTGCTGTCTCTGAACGGGTAGTTCTTGTACAGCTGCTGCTTTCTGTTCAACATCTGCTTTCAGTTGTGTCTCAAAGCTCAGCCTCTCACTTCCAGTGATCTGGAATAAACCTCTAGGAAAAAAACTGAGCAGAGGGGCAGAACAGAGAGCTGGAGAAATGTTATGGGAAAGAGTAACAGGTAAGTTCTGATGATCTTTAGCTGTCAGAATCACACTCAACTTCTTATTTTCTGGACTTTCAGAGCTTTCCTGCTGTTTCTGTTTCTGTCCCCCCTCACCCCCAGACACCATCACACCCCCTGCAATTCCCGACAAACCCCATCCTGGTTGCAGCAGCCTAGAAAATCTGCTTGTTCTTCTCCTTGCTCACATTCCCGGGTGCCCAAGCCTCCCTGACAAGCTCCCCCCGGCTGACACAAGCCAGGGATCTCGGGGTGTGGTGCCCCTGCCTGGAGGACACAGCACACAATGCCTGGGAACCACCAGGAATGCCCCGCCCTCAATGGAAACATTTTGGAAAACGCTCCTCCTTTACACCATTTCTGGTTCTAGAGGTTGATTAAATCCTTGCTCTGTGGCCAGAAGCTTCCAGCAAAAGCTCGTTCTCCCTTATTTTGGTGCTATCCAGCAGTTATTTCAGCGGGACAGAGGCCCAGGAGGGCAGCTGATCCCACTGTTTGTGCTGAACCAGGCCAGGAAATGTTTTCATTCACCCCTTATTTCAGTGACCTGAGCAAGGCCCCCCGACCCTGAGTCACAACCCTCTGACTCCACGGCAGACAAAAGCATTTACCTGGCAGAAGGGGGGTGTATAGAGATTATTCTTACAAGGGTATCAGGTATTGAGGCTGACTGACCACAACAAGACTTCTTTTGTGAAGTTCTCCCGGGAAATCCACTGACAAGACCCAGATTTCTCTGTCCTGGACTGGAAGATGTGTTTCACTTTTACTGCTGGAACAGATCTACAAAGCTCAGACTAACTGGGTAAGGTGCAGGACAGCTGGGCGTGGCAGAAGTCACGGAGAGAAGCAGCCCAGCCCTTTGTGAGCCCCCCTGCTCACACATCCTGCACCCCAGTACCTAAAAATCTGCCTCCCACATCTCCTCACAGCCAATTCCCAGCTCAGAGAAAAAAATCCAGTGGAGGAACACAGGTCTGTGTGCCTCCCAAAAGATGCCTGCAGGCAGAGCCGGGGCAAACACAGCCACCCCCTCCACAGAACTCCATCCTTAAGCTGCTTTCTCTGAGCTGGCCCAAGCACAAACTCCTTTTTTTGCCTCCACCCTTCAAGCTCACATCAGCTTTCCAGGCAGCAAGAGGCATCTGTGTTCACACACCACTTTTGGAATGGACAATGGAAGAAGGTTTTTCTAATAAAAAATAAAGCCCAGCTGGTATCTGCTCCTAGAAATGACGTTTCCTGGTTATCCCAGAGTCTGCACTCAATGTGTTGCACTCCAATGTTAGTCATCAGGATTTCATGCAGACTCAAAATCCATGTATAAAATGCATCTATAAAGCTCTCCTTGCAAGCCAGAGCTCAAAAGTAAGGGGTTTGAACAATTATTTATTCCTTTGTTAACTTGGATTTTTTGAGCCAATTATACTGAAGTCAAACTTTGTATTTAGTGCACTAAAATACAGCAGCCACGCTGTGTCTGCTTTTAAGTGTGTTATTTGACCCAGGAAAAAGCAAGTTATTACAAACAGAAAGTACCATTTTTCTTCTGCTATTTCAGTGTGTCCCAACAGCAAGTCACCAAAACAAAGAGGCAGCTAGCACTTCTCCAAAAAGTGTTACTCCCAGCAGGAGGAGTGGAAACAAGAGGAAGAAACAAGAATACAACAATAATGTTACAAGAGGCACTGATCCTGGCTTTATTCACTTTAAGATACATCCAACATTGTTATAGCTCACTTGAAATTCAAAATGCTTTTAAAGAAACCAACCATAAACCCTTGATTTTTGCCTTACAGTGCTGTCAAGTTTTCAAATAGCAAGTGAGTGACTTCCCAGCAAGGCTGTGCTCTGTATTAACAAAGGTTATAGCTTAGTACAAACCCTTCAAGTTCCTGATTTTGGAGGAATTGCATCCAGAATGAGCATTTTCCCTGGGGAGGAGGCTGCTGTGCTCACCTGCCCGGGGCCCTGAGCCGTGACACCCTTCCCTCACCCTGTGGTATTTTGGCAATCAAGTGACAACTGACCCCCCTTAAGGTCCCCAGCAGGGACTTCACTCCCCACGTGCATCTTTGAACTTGACAGCTGTGACAAAACTTCTACAGCACTGGGAAGACCAGCAGGGACAGCACTGAGTGTGTCCCCTCGAGATTCCTGACAGACTGTGAGCAGAGGGAAGTGCTCAGGATGATCCAAAATGTGCTAATTTGGAACTCAAAAACTACTTGGCAGCATCTTCTGTAAATCCAAGATTTATAGAAGACTGGGTTGCAGCCACCACACAATGACATTTAGACCTACATTTTATGGTTTTTTGCTGCATTTAGATTCATTTTAAAGTGATGAAGAGTGCAGGACTTCAGAAATATAAACATTTCTCTATTAGAAATTGCAAACTTTAGTACTATGACACTATGAAAATTTATTGTACAGTTTACTGATTCTGTGTTAAGATTCAGCATCGACCTGGTGTCTGAATCCTCCCAGAGCTACTTTTTGCCTAAGGAAGCAGTACCCTGTCCTGCTGTGCCTGTCTTTTACACCCATGGGTGTAAAAGCACGAGCAGGTCTCATGCTGGCACAGCCCTGGGACTCTGGGACCGGTTTCTCTGTTTAATGACAGCCTAACTAAAAATCAGCTGGTTAGGGAAAAGCAAAATAACCTCTACCTTAATCTTCATTCTGGGTTTTGGACACAGTTCAGTGACATGATCTTGCAGAACAACAACACAACCAACCATTCCCACCAGTGTTTAGAGAGGAAACTGAAGGAAAAATCCAAATCCAAGACACTCACTGTTATAGTATCTTTAATTTATCTCGTGTTTTACAGAAGTCTGAACGGATTAAAAAGCACCTCCTTTCCCATCACGTTCCTTACAGTTGGTAAAATATATTCAATGAGCAAATGTATGTGAACAGCTTGAGGATCTGCATCTTGTAAGGGTTTCACAGCCCAACCAACCAAAAGCCCAATTTCTCGCGGTTTTTACAATCTCGTTTTAACACGAACGCTTGATCCGCTCCTGGAAACCTGTCCAGCTGCCACCTCCCCAGAACGCTGCGCACAATCCAGTGGTGATTAGCAGACTAATTAGCTTTGGCACGGAGCTGGGCTCTCTTGCCTGTGACAGCCTGGAAGCCTGTTTTGATGCTGGCGACGGAGCAGCGGGAGTGGCAGGTCTCGCACTGCAGGAAGTATAACCTGGTGTCCTTCTGCAGGATGGTGTCTGGGGAGCGGCACGTGTGGCAGGTGACGTACTCCTCTGCAGGGGAGGGACAGAGGGGCAGTTAAAACCACCTGCACACCTGCTGAGCCTTTAGTCCCAAAGCCCCTGTTCAAACACATCTGCTGACTCAGAAGGGAAAGCCTAAAACTTGCCCTTCCCCCCCAGTTCCCAAATTAATTAAGATGAGGTTTCATTGTCACCTAAAATCTAAGGGAAAAAAAAAATCTCTCTGCACAATTTCGAGTAGAGAAAGGTAAAGTGCAGTGAAGAGTTAATGCAGACAAGTCACCACTTCTTCAGCCTTTAGTCTTGAAACACTGTTCAAATCCATCTACTAAGTCAGAAGGGCTTGCTATGGAAACCTAAAAGTTGCCCCCCCCCAGTTGCCAGGTTAATAGAGATGAGGTTTCATATGGCATGGGATGCACTTGTTACCTAAACTCTAAGAAAAAATTCTCTGGACAGTTTTGAGTATACAAAGGTAAAGAGCAGTTCTTCAATTAAAGCAGTTTTGAGTATAAAAAGGCAAAGAGCAATTAAAAGATAATGCAGACAAGTCACCACTTCTTCAGCCTTTGAAGAGTTGTCTTGAAACACTTCAAATGTATCTGCTAATTCAGAAGGGCTTGCTATGAAAACCTAAAAGTTGCCCCCCAATTGCCAGGTTAATTAAGATGAGGTTTCATGTGGTACATTATGCACTTGTTACCTAAAGTGAAGAAAACATTCTCTGGACAATTTTAAATATAGAAAGGCAAAGAGCAGTTCCTTAAGGGCACAACACACACATTGCCCCCCACACAGCACAGGCCTTACAATTTTAGAACAGTAGCTGCTTATTCAAGGCCTCTGGGTCCTCTCTGAGTAGTTTTGACTGGGTTATATCAAGCAATGTGTCCTTTCTAGGTACATTCTCTACAAACAAGATGTTCCCTGCCCTGCTGAAAATCTTTACTGAAATCCTTGACAGGAAATATTAAACAGTATTTCAAAAATTTGGTACAAAGGGTGGGTAGCTGAAAGGTCTATATGTGTTTTAAGGCATCACACTCACACTGGCATTTTCAAAATAATAACCAGTTAAAGCTGTTAAAACTGTTGTTCCCTCAGTTCCTCTGCTGGAGCAGCATTCCCAGGTGTCAGCAACTCTGGGGCAGACACAGCACTAAATATTTTTTAACATGTAATCTGGACATGAGTCCTCTGCCCAGCAGCGACACACAGTCTGCATCTGCTAATTAATGTGCACAGCAGACTTGTAAATTAACAATCCCTGGTGTTTGCCATAGTCCTCATCCCAGCCAAGAAACGAAAACAAGCAACGCTCTGTTTTCCTTGGCATGTTTTAATGCAGGACAGGGTATGACACATGTGGTTACTGTAACCCTGGTAGAGCCACCAGCATTTGAATTATTCCATAAATAATTCCATATTGCATAAAGCAAAGTTGTGGCTTCTCAGCCCGGAATGTCCACTGTGCCCATCCACGTGGGCCTGAGAGAAATCTGCAGTGGAAAAGGGAATTCTACTTACTGATATATCTTCTCAAGACATTTTCTATCTGTTTTTGCTGGAATCTTCCTTTGATTACAAGTTGGTTGTTACCATCTATTGAGCCACTAATTTTAAAGAAAAGAAAAAAAAAAATTAATCAGTTGTTTTGCAGAAGATGTGAAGTGTCAAAACAGGTCACGAACACCCAGCGAGATAAGTGTGTGTTTGCTCTTCAAGGGAAGAGTGAGACTGAATTACTTTGGGGGAAGAAAATGCACAATTGTGAAGGCATTCAAAGTCCTGCAGGAAGTTTTCCCCAAGCAAAAGCAAACCCCAGCATAGCTAAACTTCCTAATCAGAAGATCATCTTCTAAACATTCTAATGGAGTAAGTGGAATGTTGTTTCACATTCTGGTTTCTGATTTTTTAAGTCATCTGGAGCAGCAGAGACTCCAAAGCCCAATCAAATGGACATTTGTTAGATATCATTATAAAACACAGCCCAGCAGCCTTACCTTGTACCCAATTCTGCCAACAAAAATGCCAGGAGATGTTTGGGCTGACGATGTAATCTGAAAATAAAGGAAGAGTAGGTTTAACCTTCCCCCTTCAGAGGAATCTGGTATTTACACAGGAATGGCAGGGGAAAATTACCAGGTCTAAAAGGGGGCAGTGCCAGAGGGTCTGCACCAAAGGCAGTGACCAAGGACACAAGAAACCTGACCAGTCCACACAAAGAAACCCTCCACCGTTCCCCCCCAAAGCAATTACAGCAAGTACTGAAAATAAGTTTTCTGTTTGAGATTTTCCATTCTTACCCTCCCATCCCCTGAAAAAAGTGTTAGTAGCTAGCACTAAAAATCCCCTTTAGTGCACTGCCCAGATCTGCAGGGGGATTTCAGCAGGACTGTTTTCTGGCACACACATGAAACCAATCAGAGCTGCATGCCCAGAAGTGCTCACAAAGAACACAACTGCCTTCACAAGACATAATTAAGACATAGAAAGCGCTGCAGAAAACAGTGGGAAAACATTACTGGACTCCACACCATTCACCAAGAGAAGAGTATTTGTAGTCAGCTCAAATTAGAAAGAACTTTCCCCACCCTCCTGCTCAACACTTGCAAATAAATATCACTGGTGACCAGACTTGATAAAGGCCAATGAACTCCCAAAGTTACATGTAGCAGCCCTGCCACTTTCCTAATGTAAGTATAAAATAAGAAATTATCTCTGTAATCATTTTCATAAATATCTTCTCCCAGAGAAATGCAGAGGTAATGACTAAAATAGCTTCACTTCTGATTTGCCAGAAAACATCCCTTCAACACCCCAGCCACAAGCACAGAATCCATCTGCTATTCCCGGGAAACCCGAAGAGCACACTTACAATTTGCAGATATCTGTAAAGTTGACAAAAGATGTTTTCTTGGTCCCTACTCTCACAACCTGGGGGGGCTTCATGACAAATTTCCGTTTTTCTCCAGCCACCATGTCCGGGTTTTTTTCCCGCATGATGTTAAAAACTCTATTGAGCAGCTGCAAGAGAAGGGGTTCACAGCCATGAGCAGCCTGAATTTCTCAAGTGAAGCAGCACCTCGCTCCCAAAACCCCCTAGAACAGCATTCCCAGTGAGTATCTCGCTGTCTCTGCCCATCACGTGCTCTGGAACACACTTCAAGTGCCCTGATAAATGCAAAACCTGAACAGTGAGTCCCCCAGGGTTTGCTTCACAACTATCAGCAACCTCAGCCCATCTGCAGAGGTGTCAGCACTATCCCCAGTATTGCCCCAGATGGTAATTAACTGTGATAGAACAGGTGCTTTGTTGTTTTTCTGTTCCTGACCCCCTGAGTACAAGTCCTTTAGGTTACAAACAGGCAGAATGTGGCTCCACTGATGTTTTTTAGAAGCCTTTGGAATGTTACCTCATCGTATGTGTAGTCCCTTTCTGAGCCTGCCCACGCAGGTCCTGACTGAAGGCTGAAAGAAATTCCATCGTCTTTTTTGCTGTCTTCATCCTCAAATGCTGTGAAGAAAGGTTTTTGGGATTCATTAAAACAAAAGAAACACTGTTTAACTTTGTGCTTACAACATTTCTAAAAGGGACATCAACCAAGATTCCACTAAGGTGTGGACTCAATCTTCTCTGTTTGTCTACAAGGGACACCAGCACTTATAGGAAACTCATACAGGAAGTTTTTCTGATAAATAGTAAAGGTAATAAAGTGACTTTTGGAACAAAAAAGCACTTGAACAGAACTTATTCACCTACAAGATGGACCACATCTCCCTTTCAGCACCTCACTGAGCTAGGTTATACTTCTACCTTCCTCCTTCTCCATTATCTCATCTTCATCTGGAAACTTCACATTCTTCTTTTTCTTCTTTTTATTGCCCAGCATGATATCAAGATCATCTTCAGGTTCTGCTGCCTCTGGCACATCTCCTTCAATTTTCAATTCCTGCAAAGAAACAGGACCACAGTTCAGAGTATTAATCACCAATGCCCCCTGCACAGCACCACAAACACCCCGAGGGGCACACTGGTAAAATCCACCACAGCCCTGCAGCTCAACAGCTAACAATGGAATTAAGGGTGTTGAAGACAGTCCTGCACTTCCACCACAAGCAGGGCCAGATTTTTACCTTCTGGTCTAACCTCAAGGGCAAGGTCATGCTACACTTCAAGGCAACAGCCATTTGAGGGTTCAAGGGAACTAAACATCCTCCACAGCAGGCAAAGCTGTGCTTCCCACAGCTACTCCAACTTATTACCACAGTGGGGAGAACACAGAGCAAGCATTTTGTCTGTCTGGGGCAGATGAGAAGGACATTTGCTTCCCCAAAGGGCAGGAGCTGAAGTGGAGGTTCACATGTAACATTGCTCTGTCCTCTCCGGGCTTGCCAGTGACAGACATGTGATACAAAAACACCACTTGGAATAAAACTCCAGAAGGGTAAAAATATCTCCTACACCTTCTGGAACACGGCACAGGAGCCAATCCTCCCTAAAGACAACACCAGAGGGAAAGCAGAGTTCTTGGCAGGTACGTGCACTTCATTTGCAGGGCTGGCCTTTGGAGCACTGTTCTGTGCGTGGCTTCTGACACCCATTTACTCCTCTAACCCCAAAAGAAAATCAACCTGGAGGCAAATCAGCCCTTACTATAGACTGCAGAATTACTGCTCATTGTGCAGAGCAGTCAGGTGCTGAGCAACATGTTCATCAGAACCTGCTGATGTGAAAGATAGGTAAAGCTCCAGCATGAAAACAACAGATTTGAAGCAACTCCTGCACTGCCAACCCTGAGAAAATGAAAGCAAGAAAGTTTTCACAATAGTCAGGATGGCCTAGCTATGGAAACAAACCTTTACACCTTCTTCTGCTTCATCTATATCAAATATCTTTTTTGTTTTTTTCTTCTTTTTCTTTTGATTGAAGAAATTTAAGTCATCCAAGTCATCTGTTGTATCTGAAAAAAAAAAAAATCAAAAGATTGATTAAAACGGTATAACTGAAGAAACAGTTCAGACATTAAGGTTTTCTAATTTATATCCAAATCTTTAAAACATTCCAGTAAGACATGAGCAATGATCTGTATGGATATCCTCCAGGTTTCTAAGAGATCATTCCCCTCTGACCCCAAATACCTCAGTACTGTTTCAGTTTCTGCATCTTCTAACTGCATATTCTGATTTGTAAATGTTTAATCTTTCTTTTTATTGTAGAAGAGAAATTAAGTCACTTTTGTCATTACAGATGCTTGGAAAAAACGAGAAGAAAACTGTAGGAGGAAGGTATAGTTTCTTTGGTCTACAGCAGGAGCCAATTTTACCAACAAACTGGATATAAGTGAACAGAACTCCCTGAATCGGGTCATCTTGAAATGCCATTGGCCTCAATTTAAAAAGTGAGCTTATGTACACAATCACACACTTATTTCCTGAAAGATTCCAAAGAACACTCCAGTTATCACATTCCCACTTATCCAAAAACCAGAAACCTTTTAAACCACATTTCTGTTATTCACCCTACTGCTTAATTGTTCTAGTGAGAAAGAACCGTAATTGTGGAGTTACTGCTTGTGGACCATTTAAAACTTCACCCTGGCTATTTTGGAGAATCACTTTTCATTGCCTCACACAAAAAGACTGTTTGAGTCAGGAAAATGAAAATTACATAAGCACTGGGAGCTTGGTGGATGTCTGTGAACGTGACTTCAAGCAGGAGGGAAATGTGCCCTCCAAACAGGTAGCAGAGATTACTGAGAACAAACCAGGGCTCTGGAATTACACCCTGGGACGCCAAACTCTTGACACAGGGCTTGTAGTCTCAAAATGTCACCGTGGAGAGTTCATCTTACCTTTCTTCCTGCTGTCTTCTTCATCTGCTTCCACATCTTTGTCTTCTGTTGGCTCTGGTTCAACTTCCTTTGTTTCTGATTGCTGAGTCTCCTCTGTTTGTGTATCTCCTCCTCCTTCCTCATCCAACATAAAGGGCTTCTTCTTTTTCTTCTTCTTCTTGCTCATAGTAGGGTCGAAAATCATCTGGAAAAGTCAAAGAGTTCCTTAGCTGCACAATAATCACCTCCCACTACTTATTTCTCTCACGATTCCCTCAGTTTCCCAAACTGTTCCTTGGCTTCAATCTCAGCTGTTTATCAGTTGCAAGGGAAGACCTGCTAGACAGTTTACAGCTTCTGCTACTTTTCCTGTAGTCCAAGTTTCCTGCCATCTAGTTTAGTTATCAGTATTAGATTGAAGCCCATCTATAGCACAGAGTCTGATCAGGAGTCACTTCCACGTGGGAGACACGTTCACTTCCAGATTGATTAAAGGCAGGATCTGGCAATAACTCTCCTAACAAGAACACTCTGGCCTAGGGGCAAACCTACGTGGGGCTGGTGACACAGACCTGCATCAGCTCCCAACACGATGGAATGGCAAAGGTCTGAGCTCTTCCCCCCCAGAGTGAGAGACTGAACCTCAGACACAAGGGATTAAAAGCTGTCAATGAGCTCTTTAGCCAGCAAAGCAGCTTAATTCCCCTAGTCTGACTGTGAGGAAGGCACTGACCTCAGAGATTCACTTTTAACCTATTCATCATCTGCAGACCTGAGGTGTTTTACACACCAGCTCTCCAGTTTTCCATTCCTGCTTTAATTAACGTAACACATTAATGCTTCTAACTTTTGTCATCTCAGTGCAAGTTGACATCACAGCTGTTGGCCAGCTCTGTCACTCACATCTGTCCATACAGTCACACCACAATGTGGATTTAACACAACAGACAACTTTAGACACTCTTAAAGTTAAGACTTTCTCCAGAGTTCTGCCAAATTTCTGCAAAGCACATGTTCCATAAAGGCAGGGAACTGCACACAGGGGTGTGTGAAGCACAGCATCCCAGAAGTGTCTGTATATATGGAACACCGAGGCTTTCACGCTGCTCAAGAGTGTCTTCAGTTGGACACACTGTGCTAGAAGGATCTTCTGAAGAGTTCTGCCAGAGGGCTTTCCTCTGATGCTTCCTCAGACACTGCTGTGAATCATGCTGATGTAATGCACAGAAATCGCTGAGTATGTCCAACTGGTTACACTGTCTGCAACCTCCCCAGCCTGCTGGGACACAAGGAAAGCTGCTCCAGCAGCAGAGCCCACAGCTTTGGGAACAGGCACAACGGCTGACTCATTTCCATGAAGATGCTTTGCAAGACTGAAGAGGTTTTTGTTTCCTCATGAGGAGCAAACATAAGATCAGATGTAAGAGTTTCTAAGAAGGAAACTCAAATCACTCTTCCCTTTGTGAAGGGAAAGACACGTTTCACCCTGAACCACCACAAAGGATCTCTTGTATCTGCACAGACAGACTGTGACTTCAGCCCAACCACACTAAAGTCAAGTCAACACTCAAGGACGACTCCTGGATGCAGGAGAGTGGCTTTCCAGCACTAAAAACAGGCACTGGCCTTGGGCAGGGCACTGCTCTGAGGGGCCACGCCAGCCAGGGCGAGCCAAGCTTCTGCAAACCCAAGATTTACTCGTAACAGGCCACCTGTCACAGGAAAGGGATGCAAGGCCTGTGCCTGAAATGTTTTGTTCATCAAGAGCTTTGACTAGTACTAAGCAGAGCCTTAGGTCACACAGGCTTAAACAAGTCATGATATAAATGAACTGGCCTGACAACCAGGGCACTCCATGTCTGGGCTCTCTGAGCTGGATTGTTCAGAACTTTCTTTGTTCCTTTTCTCTACTCCGTGTGTTTTGTTAGTTATGACGCCATTTAAGTTGGAGGTTTCTTACTGAAGGAACTGCAGCCGCCAGTCCAAACACACCAAACATCAATGCTCTTCCTGTGCAAAAAGGTTTTAAATTCCCATCCTGTTTCTGCTCTCAGAGCCAAATTCCCATCTGGGGTTTTCTCCCCTGTAGACCAAATGGTTCTTTCTCACTTCCAGCTCCACGTACCTGCTCCTTATTTCAAATGCCTACAGTCAAAACCCCAACTGACAGAAATCAGCAAGTGAAAGAACAGAGGGGGAAAATTATCAAAGATTCGTAGTCCAAATACAATTGTCAAGACAGAAGCTGAGGTTACCCTGAACTGCTGTGACAGTGGCAAATGCTGGGGAAGTCACAAATTAATCCCATTTCCTCTTTTGAGAAAACACAGACATGGGAAGCAAACATCAACCCTGCCCTGCTCAGGAGAGCTCAGGAACCCTGACACTACACTGATGTATGTCTGCGATGAGATGCAAAATTACTAAGCCCAATCAGCACCTAAATCTTCTCAAAACACATCAACCTTTAACATTATTGGCTGGGATTATACACATTGGGGGATCTTTAATAAACCAAACCAGATGTTAACAGAGTGACTCCCCTCACAGACCAGGCCTGTGCTGCCCCTGCTGTGCCACAGCTCTGGGCAGCACCCAGTGATGCTCCTGCCAGGGAGCTTCGTTTCTTCACAGCCCTGAAAATGTTAAGCTACAGTTCAATACTACAAAGTTTGTACCATCTACACCAGTTCAAGGTGCCAATTTGTGCCAATCCTCCCAAGGAGGGTGATTTGTCTTCACCCTCCTCAACTTTGTCGGCTTCAAAAAGTTTCACCAACTTATCATCAATACCAAACCATCCTGCTCCCAACAACCAGAGCTGCAGAAGCTTGGGAAGGCACAGGGACTCACAGTACCTGAACTGCCAACTCTGAGTTCTTCAGGTTCAACTGTGTTACCTGCTGTAATCTTTATTTTCCGTCAGTCTGACACATAAAGTGACCCACAGAGGTAACTTCACTGTCCTACAGATCGCAGGAGTCACCTCAATGCCAAAAAAAAATTCGTTATGCAAGAAAAAGAGTCTTACTGACACTTAAACTGCACCCAAAGCAGGGCACTCCATATGAACTCCGTGGTCCTGGGATCACCTGAGTCAGGAAGCACCTGATGCAAGGATTGTTGAGCGCAAAGCACAGCCCAGCCATCACAACTGCAGCTCCAACCACACACGGGGCACAGAAACGCACCATATTCATTCTGGATGTTAAAGCAGCTGACTAAGCCAGCCGTGGCTCCTTTTAAAAGTATTAGTAATTTTTCTTCTTTATTACGAAGGGCAAATTATGACCCGCCTGTCTCCAAGCTCCTGACACAAGCTCGGGAGCAGAATCCATCTCATGGATGAGTCCATCTCATGGATCCAGCCAGGGTAGCCCAGGCCACACAGTCACCCATCACCTCAGACACGTAAAAAGGGCCTTTTCCCCACGAACGCGAGGCAAACGAGGCCAGTGAAGGTGCCAACACACGGCACCTACACCACCTGAAGAATTTCTCAAAGACAAACGAATCAGCTCCCCTGGAAGTGTGTCCGAGCCAGCACCAGCACACCCGGAAAGCCTGAAGTTACCGCTTGTTACGACGGAGCTTTTTAGTTCTCTGGGTTAAAGACCGAGATTTAAAGCTCCACAGACGGGGCTAAGTGAACTGGCTACACGGCAGGAGGGCACGGAACACAACGAGCAGCGCTGGCGGGGCCCTCCGCCTCCCTCTCCGGCCTCCCCCCGCCAGGGGCGGCCCCCGGGGGAGCACCAGGCCTTCCCAGCACCCGCGGCCCCCTTCCCACAGCCGCGGTTCCTCCGCCCGTCCCGGTGGGACCCCCGTGCCGGCCCCGCTCGGGGCGGAGGCCGCGCCCGCTCAGGCCTCAGGCCCGGCGCCCACATGGCGGCGGTGGCGGCGGCTGCGGCGGCGCAGGCCCGGGGCGGCTTCTCACCTCGTCGCCGGACATGTCGGCGGCCGGGGTGGGTGGTGTGTGTGTGAGGGAGGCCGGGGGTCGGTCGGCGGGTCTGTCTGTCTGTCTGTCCGTCTGTCGGTCGCTCCGCGGGGGTCACTCCGAGCTCGGCTCTTGCATCAGCGCCGCGCGCCCGCCCCGCCCGCCCGCGCCTGCGCGTGCGTGACCGTGTGTGTGTGTGTGGGGTGTGCGGGGCCCGCGCTGCGCACGCGCGGCGGCGGCGGCGGGAACGCTGAGGGGGCGCTGAGGGGGCGCGGGATGGAGGGCGGGATGGAGGGACTCTCGTACCCTGCTCGCACATCCCGCAGCCCCCGGGGGGAAACCGGGCTGGGAGTGCAGCGGTGCGGCATTAATGCGAGCGTCTGTGCTCACCGGCACGGTGTCCCGCGCTGGGACGCGGAGCCGCAGGGGCTGCCGTGCTCGCCCTCTGTGCCCGTCGCATCGCCCGCCTTTCTCCCTCCCTCATCAGGCTCCCCAGGCGAAGCGCATCACTCTGCGCTTGCCACCGGCCAAGCTCTGAAACACGGGGATTTTTGCAGTTCAGTGTGTAATAGAAGGGTTAACTTTGTTCATAAAATCTTATGTGTATGAGGGAGTCAGAAACTTTTTGTTGTAATTAAACAAGATAAGTTTCACAGACAGCTTGCTAATCAAGCAAGTGTCAGTAAAAATAATTGCAGACATCCTGCTAAACAAGTATCAGTATCGGTGGAATTTACAACTGGTAAGGACTGCAGCTTTCATCTTTGACAAATCCCAGGTGATCACTCAGCAAGGAGCCATGAACTCAAGCCACAAAGCAGATTTATTTACATTCAAAACCTGGGACTTCGAAATGTATAAAAGGGACATTTACTAGATTTCAGTGTGTGTCTCGGGCAGGGCACTTGCCCTCCAGGCCACCCAGCGCTGTCTTTGCTTTATTATCACTTGCTTAATAAATTTATCAATGTTTAATTGGAATTGAGTTGTCTAAATTCTTAAACTAACTTGTAACAAAAAGCACCTTCTGAAACTTCTCTGTGTTGCAGTGCATAAGCGATAAAGGTGACAGAAAGAGAAAGTACTGAGGCAGAAGTAGGTAAGCAACAGCACATCACATCTTCCTTCCTTCCCCAGGACTGGGGACCTGTGGGAGTAGGGAAGGACTCTGGAAAGTGTCTGGTCCAACATCCTTGCCCACAGGAGCAGAAGGAACAGGTTGCTCAGGACCTTCTGCTGGGTTTTGAGCATCTCCAAGGATGGGGACACCACAACCTCCTTGGGTGACTTCTTCTATCTTCACAATAAAAAACTTTTTTCTGTTTTTAAGCAGAATTTCCTGTGTTTCTGCCTGTGTCTGCTGCCCCTTCTCCCTTCACCCAGAAGAACCTGGCTCTGTCTTGTTTAACCCTTCTGTATGTATCAACATGATTCCCCTGAGCCTCCTCTTTCTAGGTTTAGCAACCTAGGCTCTCTCAGCTTCTCAGTCAGGTACTCCAGTCCCTTAGCCATACAATCACAGAGTGGTTTGGGTTGGAAGGCACCTTAAAATCATCGAGTTTCTACCCCCTGCCATGGGCAGGGGCACCTTCCTCCTTCCATTTCCCTACTGCTTCCTAATAAAAAAATATGGCACTGACGACAAGAGTTATTTACTACAAAGTGTTAAAATCCTGCCTCCCAACCAACTGTGAAATTTAAAGGTCATCCATTTCATGCAAGATTTAGTGTTAAAGCGGGCAGAGCCATCGGCCCAAACATTGTTATTACAGGGTGTTTTACATTTTGATATTTCCAGACCCTTTGGATTCTTGGAGGCCGTAACTTCCCATCACATGGTGTAAACTTGTGGGAGTTTCTTCACACTGTATCATTTATCTTTGTCTTCCCCTACCATCCAGTCCAACTCCTGGCCCTGCACAGACACCCCAGCAATCCCACCCTGTCCCTCAGAGCGTTGTCCAAACCCTCCTGGAGCTCTGGCAGCCTTGGGGCTGTGCCCACTGCCCTGGGGAGCCTGTTCAGTGCCAACCACCCTCTGGGGGAAGAACCTTTCCCTGAGATCCAAAGCACACGACACATCCAACCATGTCCTTGGCTAGGGACAGTTTCAAACTCCCCCTTTCTACACTCTGGTCCTTCCCCAGACCCAACCAGCTCAATTACAAACATCCCATGAAAATGGAAATCCCATATCCAAGCACAGCTTTCTCCAGAGCATTTTTTAGCACAAACAGCTCAGGGAACTATGTAGGTAATCACAATTTTGAGTCACAGCAGGCCTTGTGCTGTGCCTGTTTTACAGGTAATAGCTCGAGTTCTTGCCTTGCTGTGTGCTTTTAAAAAACAGATGGATCCCATCCTCTGACCCTCTCCCACTTTTGGGCTCAGCTTGCGAATCCCAGGGATACAGATGACCAAACAACCTGTGCATCTGCAGAAATGTGCTTTCCAAAGCCATTGTGCTGATGGCAGGAACTGTCTGTCAGTCAGGGGACCATTTATGGGAGGTAAATAAGAGCACTCCATTCCTCACAGCCAGGGAGCAGAGCTGGAGGTTCCCTCCAGAGAGCTGGGCTGTGGCAGGCACAGGGCAGCTGGGGGGCAAAGAAAAGTTATTTATTCCCTCTTCCCTCAACAATTTCCTCACTGTTTAAATGTAAAAGCTTCAGAGCAGCAGGAGAGCTGGGCTGTGAGCAGCCAGGGTAGGTTCTGCTGCACGTTCCCATCTCCAGGATAACGCAGCAATAAAAGGCTGCCGAGAGCACAAACTGCACTCCTTGGTCAGAGCTGAAACCTGGTGGAGTCTGTGACCCAACAGGTCCATCCCTACCCCTGGGAAACTCAGCAGAGGAGCTACACCAGGTCATGGCCGTGGAACCTCTTCCATTTGGAGGAGGCTCATTGGGAAAGGAGCTTTTCCTTATCCCAGCAATTACTCAGAGTTCATTTGGAGACACCTGGGGTGGAAGCCAAGCACGAGCAAGGGGGGGACCCAACAAACAGCAATCCCAGCCCTCTAGGGGAAGAACCTTTTCCTGAGATCCAACCTGACCCTGCCCTGACACAGCTCCAGCCATTCCCTTGACTCCTGTTCCTGGTCACCAGCGAGAAGATGCTGTTGATCAGCTGTTGATCAACACTCAATGTTGGGTGTTGCTGTAATACATAAAACGGTCTCCCACCAAATTCTTCTTCCTTCTTTTGCTGCAGGTGTTTGCTTTGCTCTGCCTGTCACATGAGACTGTTCACATTGGGACACTTTTCCCTGGCATGAGCACAGGGATTGCTGATGGCTGTGCTGGCACTGCCACGACACCCTCCCCACTGCCCAGAGCTCACTTTGCCCAGCCTCCTGTCCTGAAACGCTGTAGTGATATTTTTGTATCATCCCCAATTCGGTGTTTCTACACTGTTCTTAAAACCACCATGGACAGAGATTCCCTCTGCAAGTGCCTGACAACAAAACTTCTTCACCTTTCTCTCTGTGACTTAACCCAGTGCCTGTTGTGGTTGTCCCTGAGGACACACAAGCTCACTGTTCCCTGTGTGGTAACCCACAGGCCTTTGGAATACCACTGTGCCCTTCTTGTCTTGTCCCCCAGCTTTCTTTCTCAAAAGCTGTAAATCCAGCCCCTCCAACCTTTTTGTTCTCATTTGCATTGCTGTCTCCTGCACCTCAGTCACTTCTGTACCCAGTCCTGCAGTTTGGTGCCCAGTTTTGGGCACTCTCATCAGATCCTGGGCAGTACCAAACAGAACTGGGTAATTCCCCTAATGCCTCATTTTTAACACACCTGTTAACACATTCTAGAGCAAGTTTCCCTCTTTTCTTTGTCAGTAATCCTTGGGGCCCATGTGTATTATCGGTGACAAACACCCTGAGATATTCAATGGTCAAAGCCCCTGAGATTCCCTCCCCCTGGGCAAATAATGTTGTTCATGATACACAGTGTTTGGAAAACCTCAGTGAAAAAGCTGGTGGGAGCTGCCAGAAGTGCTGGACTTATGACCTGATGTCCCAATAGAAACCAAAACAGTGTCTTTGAAGCTCCTGGCTACAGACACACAACATCAAAGGCATGCTGGGGACATCACCTTTTATCAATTTTTCCCTCTCCTATGCTAACAGACTGTTCAGGATGCAGAACTTTCCTGTTCTGTTTTCTTCTGTGCTCTCCTTGTGAATTAAACAAGTTCCAGAAACCGAAGGGTGCTGGTGCATTAGTTGATAATGACATTTGGCAGAGACCAAACTTGTATCTTTGGGGGAAAAAAAAACCCTACGTGAGTTTTTGTGAGAAAAGCACAGTCTGGGTTGAAGAGCTTGCAGAAACATCCAGATTAAAAGGTTTCTTCGTTTTGTTGGTGAGCAACAATGGTGACATATTAAAGCAGAGGCATATGTGGCAGCATGTCAAGTAGAATTTCAACTTCAGTAACTAAAACTCTGATCCTTAAAGCTCAGAACTTGAGTGCACTGGAAGGGTTGTGCAGTAACCCAAGTTCCAGGGATGAGCAATCACAGCCTGGGATAAATAAACTTCAAATGCAACCTTGAATTTGGGGGAATGGCCCAGGGAAAATCACAGTCATGGGAAACACTCCTGTGGAGGCTTTGAGTGTGTCTTCCCTCTGAGTATTCCCAGCCCTCCAGACAAATACCTGGTGAATTTGCCTTGCTGAATTCTGAGCCCTGTTCTAGAGCTCCCTGTGGTGCTGAAGCATCACCCAGTGCCAAAACCTCAAGACTTCACATCTATCTTAAGTAGCTATGACATAAAATGAAATTATAGAATGGTGCATGGCTGTTCCATCTCAGCTGTGTTTGTGGGATTTCCTGGGGAGCAAAAGGAAGGATTCCATTCTGGATGATGGTCAAACATCTCTTTGTGCACAGAGTGATGTTCACTCTTCAGGAGTGTTGGTGTAAGGCACATGAACACTGAGTTTTAAAGTAGATTTTGCTTAAAGTTTGGTATCAGTTAGTTTTAAATAAAAGTCTATTCATTGCACTGAATTCTGCTCCCAGTCAGTAATTTGATTGTCAAATGTTTAGCCTAAAGATTGCTGTGGAATTAACAGTGTCAACAGCTGGCTGTAAACTCCTCACACAGATTTAACCACTGCCCTCTGCTTAAATATCTGTAAGAGAGAATTGTAGCCC